GAGAATAGAAACCTGTTTGTAATAAGAATTCTTTGGATTTGTCGTTCAGATGTTTTCCAGTCATGTCTGACTCTTCATGATCCTATTTGGGATTTTTATTTTTTTTTGGTAAAGATACTATAGCGGTTTGCCATTTCTTTTTCCAGCTCATTTTACAGAAGAGGAAGCTGAGGCACTTGACTGAGAGTTAAGTGACTTGCCCAGAGTCACACAGCTAGTCAGTGTCTGAGGCCAGATTTGAACTTAGGTCTTCCTGACTCCAGGCCTGGTACTCTATCCACTGCATCACCGAGCTGCTTATTGTAGTTGAGAGCATATGCATCTCTTTCCTTTCACAAAAAACAACTCTGATGTTAACAATACCTGTGTGATCTAGGATAAATCACTTATTCTCCCTGGGTCTCAGTTTCCTCCTTTGCAAAAAGAGGTCAGAGTAGATGACCTTTGAGATCCTCTCTAGATTTATGAATTAGTTCACCATTAGTTCAGCATCAGACGACCTGGGTTTAAATCCCATCTATGATGATAATTATACCTGTGTGTCCTCAGACAAGCCACTTAACTTCCCTGGGCCTCAGTTCCTTCCTTTGTAAAAAGAGATTGTTGGATTAGATGATCTTTGTGGTCTTTCTATCTCTAGATTTTTGTATTTGTGATCTGAGATCATTTCAGTATATTTGCCCTTCTGTTCTACATGGCTGAGGAAAGAGAGACAATATCTTGGGGGGAAGAAGGGAGATGGTTCAAAGTTAGTTTTCTACCAAAATGGTCTCTTTCCCAGAGTTATAAAAATACACGCAGACTTTCTAATTCAGCCAAATGTCACTGTTAATCTGTTTCACAGTCCCAGTTACAATGTGCTCATTCTCCGTGAGTCAAGAGAAGCATATGCACCCAGTGTCTTTAGACTAAAATCCTCCCAAATCCAGCATAGTGGTGTGATCATAAGAAGTTTCTCAGACAGGAATTACCCTCTTCCTTTTCACTTTCTCACAAAGAAAACAGCTTGGTTTCTTCATGCCAACGTCTCTCTTTCATCATCTTTTTTCTGAATACATTTTCCTTGTCTGCTAGCAACTCTCTTCAGCTGCTGCCTATAATGGGCAAAGCACTAGAAATGACATTTTTCAAGTGCCCTGTATAGGTTAGTTGTCTCTGTCACAAATCGTAGGAGTAGTGAATGTACTGAAAGGGTGAGAGGAATAATGGGACAAGAGGCCCACCAGGTCTTCCCTACTCCAAATCTATTCAGGTGTCACAGACCCATTCATTCTAGGGTAATTGGTGCTCCTGTCAAGAGGGGTAGTTAAGTTAGTCAGTCAGTAAGCATTTATTAAGAGCCTACTATGTGCCAGGCATTCTATTAAGCACTGAAGATACAAATATGAAGAAGAGAGTTCCTGCCCTCAAGGAGCTTATAATCTAATAGGGAAAGACCACACACAAAAGGAAGCTGAAAAGTAATGGGGACAGGATAGGGAGGAGGGTACTCAGCTTGTAGCATGCTGGAGTTCAGTCTGAGTAGTACAAACTGGTGGGAAATGAAGAGATGGCTGGCCTGGGAGACCTCCTTAAATGGAAGCTAAATTTCACACTAGTAAAATGTAGGAATCCAAGACTGGGAACAGAGTAGATCCCCGGGAATACCTTTTGAATTGGTCTGAATGCAAGGAAACAGGTTGAGACCTCCTTAGCTCCCTCAGTTTACAAACAGTAATCAGCATACAAATGACTTGACAGCAATGCATTCAGGATTCCCACACCAAATCATTCCCATGCCCACCTTTGATGATCATATAATAGGTTTCATTATCATGAGTGGGAATGGATTTCTAGGAAAATTAGCAACTTATTCTCTACCTTTCCCTTTTCTCCTTGTTCAGTCAATTCTGATTAACGCCAGCTAGGATTTCAATAAGACTTGCTGTATTTTCAGAATTGCTATGAAATGACTTAAATGGATTCTCTGAATACATCATGTTAAAATAGCCTGTCCAACAATAGGTGGCAGGGAGGAAAGGTAGCGGATGTCAACACTGAAGGGACCAAAGGGGCAGATCTGAGGAGCAGATGAACCACAACTATTAGAAATAGTTATTGTGCATGAAATGGTTTGAAAATGAAAAAAATGTGTAATATTTAGCAAGTTACTAATTGAATCTATTTTTACAATCTTTAATGTAAGAAAAAATATCAGTTTGATATTTCCTTTTATCCCCAGGTATTGTACATCTCTAATGATAGAGGCGAGAGGGAGCTCCTCATTTCTCATTCTTCGCTACCATCTGTCTATGTTTGCGAACAGTATTCCTCTGTATCACGCTGCACCATACAACAGACCCTTTTCAATTCTTCTCACCCCCCACTGTGAATGTGCACATAGTTTAAATTTCTTGGGAGCCCGATATATAAATTGAAGGTAATTCAAAATATATGTTCCTTTACCCTAAGTCATCAGTATATCCAACAAATGTTCATTAAATACCTACTATGTACAATGCATTGTGCTAGGCACTATGGATAAAAAGTATGATAATCAATATAGTCCTTGGTCATGAGGGGCTTACAGTGTAGTACAGGGGTGGGAATCTGTGGCCTCAAGGTCACAGGCTGCAGGTTCCCCACCCCTGGTCTAGTAGAAAGAATGAGACAAGTGCCTAAAGAAGTTTAATACTGTGCAAATTATGCCATGATAATAAAAACTGCCAGAGTAGCTTGGGAGATTTGAGGAGAGAGAGAATATTTCCAGCAGAGGTGATCAGGAAAAGCCTCAGGGAGATAGCAGCACCTAAGCTGGGCCTTGAAGAAGGATAAGATTTTAATAGAAGCAGTTAAATGATTAAGTAGGTGGAAAGTTGCCCCCAAATGCAAGAAGTTCTGAGTTAAAAACCATCTTCAAACCCTTAACTAGCTATGTGACCCTGTGCAAATCACTTAACCACTATCTGCCTCAGTTTCCTCATTTGTAAAATGTGGATAATAATGTTACCAACCCCCCAGGGTTGTCAAGGGGATAAATGAGATAATACTTGTGAAGTATTTTACAAACCTTGAAGTGCTATATAAATGCTAGCCATTATTATTATTGTGTGGCAATGTGGGGGACATATAGAATTGTATAGAGATGGAAGAGAATAGAATGAGATAAGAACAATCTAATTTGGCTACAGTTAAGAAGGACCACAGTGTAGTGGAAAAAAGCATTAGACTTGAAATCAGGAGGGACATGGGTTAGAATCCTGCCTCTGACAATTATTAGCTGTGTGAACATGAAAGTATAATTTCATTTCTCTGATCCTGGTGATCTTTAACTGTAAAATGTGGGAGGGATAATAATATTTGTAGAACCTATTTCACAAGGTTATTGTAAGTATCAAATGAGAAAATGTGTGAAACTCATCTAGTTTTATAAATACTGGCAAGTATAACATAAATGCCAATTATTATTACTATTATTATGATGGTCCATACTATATGTTGTTGTTGTTGTTCTCCAGTCATTTTCAGTCATATTTGACTCTTCAGGACCCTATTTGGGGTTTTCTTGGCAGAGATACTGGAATGGTTTGCCATTTCCTTCTCCAGTTCACTTTACAGATGAGGAAACTGAGGCAAACAGGGTTAAGTGACTTGCCCAAGGTCAATCTGCTAGTGCCTGGGGTCAGATTTGAACTTAGGAAGATGATTCTTCCTGACTCCAGGCCCAGCACTCCATCCACTGTGCCACAGCCAGAGCTGCCCCATATTATTATATACCATGTTGTTGTTCATGATGAGGATGATGAGATGAGGGTAAATCGGAACAGCCCAGCTAAGGAGTTTGTCTTTTGTCCTGTGGAGATAATTCTGTATTAGGCAATGAGAAACCATAGAGTATTACTGAGCAGTGAAGTGATATGGTCAGATCTATGCACTAAGATGATTGTTTTGGGGATAGTATCAAGAGGGACTCAGTCCAGGAAAGAGGTAAGAGAGTGTAGACTAGGGGCAGTGGGAGTGGAGAGGAGGGAATACATGAAAGACATATCATAGAGGTAGAACCAATAGGATTTGGCAACATAAATGTACATTTTTTTTTTCAAACATGCTAGAAGTTTAATGTAGATCTTAAATAAAATTTATTTCTTCCTGAGCCTTATTTTAAAGAAAAGTGGTATTTGCAGATACTTTGTTATTATAGAAGTTATAGGTCCTTAATCATTCTCTCCCTTAGGGAATTTATGAAATTTCCTGTGACATTTCTCTTCAGGGCTTTAGTCAGAACAGTCTATCAAATCAAAAGAAATAGTGTGTCTAGCAGCATCCTATTGTGACACATTAAGTATATTAGTATTTATTTTACTTCTATTTAAGTGCCCTATTATGCATACTACTGTGTTAGTTGTATATACTTGTTGTTTTAACCTCCTTTCAATCATTTCTCAACTCCCTTCAATACTGTGTTTGGCCACCACTCAACTGAAGCTGTTTCCTTCAAGATCACTAATGATTATATTACTAAATCCAATGTTTTTTTTTTTCAGTACTCATCCTTCATGATCTCTCTGCAGCATTTGACACTGGTGATCAACCACTCCTGGATCTTCTCTTCTCTGCCAGCTTTCATGACACTGCACACTCATGGTGCTCTTCCTATCTATCTGATTGCTCCTTTTCAGTCTCTTTATAGGTTTTGCCACCTGTATCCCTTCCTTTAAGAGTGGGTATGTCCCAAGGCTCACTCCCAGGACCTTGTCTCTCTGGCTTAACTCATAAGCTTCCATGAGTTTAATTATCACCTCTATGCGGATGATTTCCAAATCCATAAAATCAGCCTTCTTCTCTCTCCAGACCTTTGCACTCACATTATCAGCTGCCTGCTAGACATCTCTACCTGGATGTCTCAAAATCATAGTGTCAAATTGGGATTATTTGTCTTTGCCCCATTAACCCATCCCTTCTCCCAATTTTAACCCGAGAAAATAGGAGTAGTGAGAGGAAAAGAGAAGTCTCTCACCTACCTGCACACTGGTCAGTGTGGTATACTGGTAAGCTTTGACTACCAAGTAATTTGCTTCCAGATCTATGATGCCTAGGATCATATATTTCCACCACCTTCGCCTCAAAATCGCCAGCAAGTTTTCTTCTCCTGGATGAAAAAGAGTTAAGCAGAAATGAATTTGGGTTTGGGACCTATCATACATTTCACATTTGACAAGGATTCTAATATTTTCCAGTGTTACATTTTCTGATCGCACCAAATGCCTAATGGAGCAAATGAATTAAAGCGTCAGAGACTCACAATCTTAACTTACTCCACAATCTTTCTTGTAAATATCAGTTTTCCAAATTAGTTTTTAGGTCTGAGAAGGATGAGGCAGGTTATTAGTTCACCATAGAAAACATTTTCTCAGAAATGAACAGAAAAAAATCATTGCATCACCTTGCAATGGAATAAGATTTATTAGAAAAGACATATAAATTATACTGGGCACAAAAATACAGTGAGGTCCACCATTACTGTAGCAAGAATTGCAGAAATGAAAGAAAGACCTTTGAGGGTCAAGTTCTTCCCTTTCACTTCTGTCTTGGGGTCTTTCTACTATACTAAACTGCCTCCTTTAGGTTTGAAGCTCCCTTTCTGAACATGGCATGCTAAAGTGGAATGCTAAAGAGTCAGTACAACTCCTGAGAGATGGAGAGAGAAGGTAAAGTCTCAGGCATGTGCTAGCCTAGCTGCAGACCTCTGCAACATAGCTAACAGCAGGTACTTTGGGGACAGCATGGGGTACTGGAAAGAACACTAGACTTGGGGTGCTAAGACGTGTGTTCAAATCTTGGCTTTGCTATTGACTGGCTATGTGAGTCTGGGCAATTTAAGTTTTCTGAGCCTTTGTTTCCTCATCTTTAAAATGGAGACAATAACAACTGACATTTTATATAGTGTTTTAATATTTTAAAAATCATATATATACATATATACATACATACATATATATATATTTATATATATATATTCTCCTTTGATCCTCGCAATAACCCCATGGGAGATGTTCTATAGGTTTTTTATTTTTGTCTTACAGATGACGAAATATAGTCTTAGAGGCTGTGACTCTTCCACAGTCGCCCAGTTAATAAATATCAAAGACCAGAGACCAGGTCTTCCTAACTTAAAAACTGAACTCATTATCTTCTCTCTCCCTAAACCCTCCCATTTTCCTATCTTTTCTATTGTTGTGGAAGGTACCACCATCTTCCTAATCACCCAGGCTTGCAACCTAGGTATCATTGGCATGCTTTCTCTCTCCTCCCTTCTCCCTCTCCCTCTCCCTCTCTCCCCTTTCACAGCTAATCTATTGCTACAGGTCTATTGATTTTACCTTGATGACATCTCTTGCCTCTGCCCCCTTCTCTCCTCTGATACTGCCCCCACTCTGGTACAGGCCTTTATCACCTCATACCTGGACTACTACAATAGCCGACTTGGTTGGTCTTCCTGTCACAAGTCTCTCCCCACTCCAGCCCATCTTCTATTCAGCTGTCAAATTGATCTTTCTAAAGTCATATACCTCCCACCCCCCAGTTCAATCGACTCCAGTGGCTCCCTATTGCTTCCAGGATCAAACATAAAATCTTGTTTGACTCTTAAAGTCTTCCATATCTTGGTCCCCTTCCTAACTTTTCCATTTTATTCCTTCTACCCCACACCTTATTTTACATTTCAGTGACCCTGGCCTTTTTGCTGTTGCTCATCTAGACATCCTATCTCCTGACTAAAGGCATTTTACTTGTCGTCCTCCCATGCCTGGAACTCTCTCTTTATTTCTGTCTCCTGGCTTCCCCGGCTACCTTCAAATCTCAAAGAAAGGCCCACTTTCTACAAGAAGCCTTTCCTGATCCCCCTTAATGTCAATGCCTTCCCTTTGTTGATAATCTCCAATTTATTCAATGTACATCTTCCTTTTATATAGTACAGTTTGTTTGTATGTTGTTTCCCCAATTGGATTGTGAGCTCCTTGGGAGCAGAGATCTCTTTTGCCTTTCTTTATACCTCCAATACTTAGCAGTGTCTGCCCATAGTAGGTACTTAAAAATGCTTGCTAACTGATGGGCTGACTTTCTACACCATACTGCCTCTCCAATAATTCTTGCCCTGCTTATCTCAGAGGACCGTTATGAGGATCAGATGTGGCAATCTTTGTAAAGCACTTTGTAAAATCATTAAACTCACAAACATTAGAGCTGGAAGGATCCTTAGAGATAATTTAGTCCAGAGATTCCTAACTTTGGGTCCACAGACCCCAAAAGAGTCCATAGATATATATCAGTTCCTGTGAACTTGCATGAAAAAATTACATATTTGTAATCCCATGTATTTTATTTTTACTTAAAAACATGTAAAACATTATTCTGAGAAAGGATCCATAGGCTTCTAGATGACCAAAGAGGTCCATGATACAAAAATGGTTAAGAAACTCCAATGTAGTACAACCCCTTTATGTGATAAGTGAGAAAATTGAGACCAATGACATAAAATGACTTGATAAAAATTATATAGCTAGTAAGTGGATTAATTGAAACTTGAACCTTAGTCTTATGATTTTTAGGAAAGTTCCCATCTTCCTCTTTTTTTTCTTTTCATCCTCATTAGTACATTCATTAGGATCCACTTATGGGGTACACTCTCCCAACTACAAATACCTTTCTTCAGTCCACATACATAAATCTAGAACTGAAAGGGACCTCAGAGATTCTCTCTCTTGAGCTTATTTTACAGATGAAGAAACTGAGGGCTAGGAAAGTTTAGACTAGACTTGCCCAAGGTCACACTAATATAGTGTATCAAGTAACACATAAAGTAAGCATTAGAGGTAAGATTTGAACCTATGTCATTTCTTACTAACTAGGGTCAAAACTCTGCCACTATGATTATCACATGGATATGTGATAGTTTCAAGCCAAGAAAGAATCTTGACTTGAGCACACTTCTAGTTATATAGGAAAATGGTAGTTTGGTGGTGTTATGGTAGTCAGTGACTGATCAGGGAGAGCTTTTGAATTGAGGGAAGTTTGGAAGGCCAGGCACCCAAATCTGTCAAGTACCTCTTCTAAATTGATAGTTTTGCTTAGAATAGGGTTACAGCAAAACAAGTAAATCCAATGGGTATTTTGGCAAGGGTGATTCTAAACACAATGACTGAATAGTCAACAATTCTGTGACATGGTAGTCACTTTCACATCCTCCTCTCCCTTTCCCCTCACTGTACACACACACACACACACACACACACACATACACACACAACCCCCCCATAACATGTTAAACAATTTCTTAAACATTTGTTTTTTTAAGTTTTGAATTCCAAATTCCATCCCTCTCTCCCTCCCTCCTTCCCCTCCTTGAGATAAAAAGTAATCAGATATAGGTTATACATGCACAATAACTTAAAACATTTTCATATTAGTTCTTTTGTGAGACAAGACTCAAACGAAAAAGAACAGCAGAAAGAAAGTGAAAAATAGAGTGCTTCTGAATCAAACAGTATCAGTTCTTTCTCTGGAAGTGGATAGTATTTTTCATCATTAGTCCTTTGGGATTGCTGAGAATAGCTAAGTCATTCACAGTTCTTCATTGAACAATATTGCTATTACCATGTATAATGGTCTCCTGGTTCTGTTTACTTTACTTTGCATCAGTTCATATAAGTCCAGATTTTTCTGAGAGCATCCTGCTTGTCATTTCTTATAGCACAATAATATTTCATAACATTTGTATACCACAGCTTGTTTAGCCATTCCCCAATTACATCTTTGTACTTTCAATGGAGAAAGCACACCTGCTAGGGAAATGGATTTGTCCTATAGAACAAGTTCAGGAGTTCCTTATCTATGGTCAATCTGTTTCATGGCTGACTTTAGGATGATACCCACACAAGGCATGGTGAACAAGATGAAATCAAATAAAACAAAATCTATCATGAATCTGTAATTCAAATGAAATAAAATAAAATCTATTCACAAATCTGTGACTAAACTCAAATCAACATTTTTTTTCAGTTTCAAGTTTGGTAAGAAAGAACAATGGACAAGTCAATTAATATTAAAAGAAGAACTGAAAAGAATTCTTCACAGATATTCAAATCTCTACTTTTAAGAAGGGGAATAAAATACTTAATCATTCAAAAATATTAATATATTAATTCATTCAAAACTATTTTTGCAACACCTGTGCTATGTAAAGCACTATGCTGGGTACTGCAGGAGATAGGCTGACATCTCTGTCTATAAGGACAGGGAAAATAAGACACTGCCAGTACACAAATAATTAGATTATGTAGAAGAATATAATAAGTACAGTAAAGAGTTACAGATAAAGGGCCAAGGGGAGAGACCACATACAGGCAGGCGATCAAGAAAAACTTCATTAAGAAGGTGGGCATTTGAACAATTTTTTTCTTTTCTTTTTAAAAAATTTTAATTCATTCATTTATTTATTTTTAGTTTTCAACAATCACTTCCATAAGCTTGAACAATTTTTTAAAAGGCAGCATTTGAATCAATGAATCAACAAACATTTATTAAGTATCCCTACTATGTGTCAGGCACTATAATAGACACTGGAGATACAAACAACAGTAAAAGATAAAAAACAGTTTTTGTACTCAAGAATCTTATATTCTATAATGGGAGATAAAATGTGAGACAAATATACTTGTAACTCTATACGAAATAAATCCAAGCTAATTTTAGGGGGAGGTGCAAGGAATGTTCTTACAGAGGAGGCAATACCTGAGTCGAGTTTTGAAGGAAACCTAGGATCCTAAGAGGCCAAGGTGAGAAGGGAGTGTATTTCAGACAAGTGATGATAGTATAGAGACAGAGGATTGAGTGTCAAGTGTAAGGAACAGCAAGAAGGTCAGTTTGGCTGGATAGTAGAGAGAGTAAAGAGAAGTAATGTATAATTAGGCTGGAAAGGTAGGTGGGAGCCAGGTTGGGAAGGGTTATAAATGCCAGAGCAGAGTGTTTATATTTCCTTGACAAAGGAGTTGGATTTTAACAGATGAAACGGGGTGGGGAGGGTATTCCAAATGCAGAGAGAACATGAGCATATATAGGGAAGAAATAGAGCCTGGAGTCTTATTGGGGAAC